GGATGCGAAGAACCAAGTGTGGTACGAGGTCCTTTCCTTCTCAAAGCCTGCCCACTTTCTGTCATTTATCGGGTACCCATATGTTCAACTGAGGCAAAAGTTTTTTGCTCATCAGTCTAGCAATGCTGTTGTAAAACATGTGTCTGGTTCATAATCCTATTCTTTTTTAAACTTGAATTCCAGCACTGAGTAATTGTCATCAGCTCATAACTGTTCTGTTCTAGCGAACATACTGCTGAAGTGTTGGTTTGACATTGCTGTGGAAGGTCCTTTTCCTTCCACACAATGAAGGGAAGATCATATAATCCAATTTTTACTTAAAAAGCGGGAAAAATATAATTAAGAAAAGATATAGAATTTACAAAGACAACTTTTAAACTGTCGTTAACCAAACTCCTACTACGCTTTAGATTAGGTGAACTAATATGCATAAAGAAGGGATCACCAATCTACCATTTGTCTGGTGCTTAAATCTAAAACCAATCTGCTGAAAGAAGAAAAATCAAATCCCCATGATGCTGATTCAACCATCCCTTTACTGCTGTTGAATTTATTAAATCATATCAACGTGGATGTCAAGCCTCTATCTGCTCTGTTAGTTCCCAAAAAGGCTTCTTTAACTGCTCCTGTGTAAAGATCAAGTTAAGAAAATTACTCTAAAGAGACAGAGATAAAGGATTGCTATATCTGAAAAGAAAAAAAATTCATGGTCATTCCAAAAAGAAAAAAAAGAAGAAAACAAAACGATTTATAAGCATGGAATTTGGTCCGCTGAATATCCAGGCAAGAATCATACGACTGCATGAGCATAAAACATGGATACTTTTGTGTCTGGATGCTTCTGTAGCAATCATTACAGTTGTGTCTCCTACTAATTCTGATAATTGCCGTTAACTTAATATAGTAGCATTCTGGAATGAAGCTTTTTTTCTCAATGATTGTGAACTATTGATCTAAGGAGTTCAAGTCATTTAAGTTCAGTGCAATGTCCCGTGAACGTGCAGAAGAGTAACCAAAGCTGCAGAAAATGTCTACCCTTGTGCATTTTTCCCCCGTAAGATATTAACTCCACCATTAACAGATCAAGCCTCAAACAAAACATGTATATAGTACTTTTGCATATGATAACAACGTTAATAATAGTATAATTACTCTCAAATTGTATTTTTTTAAAGAATAATTGTTATCGAATTGTTGATTTTTAAACGACAGAGTTTTCCCTTTTCCTTTCCTTTTCTTTTTGCGTAGAATTCCATCTTAGCTCTATTGCACCAGGATTTAATTTTGGTGTTGTTCTTGGCAGAAACAACCAAGGGCATGCGGTAAACCACAATCGGAGTAATTCTAATGCCTAAGTCAATATAATGCCATAGTTGGATAATTCTACCTTAGTATAATTGGATTCAGGTAGCAACAATTCGAGTAGGAATTAATATTTTT